TGAATGAAGGATTAAAACTTCGTCTTAGTTGTATATTAGGTTACCGTATCACCATGATTTTGCACTATATAATTATAATCTTACTATATTAGTTAGTATATTAGATCACCATGTATAGTTGATATTGTACGTAATACCATATTAGTTAGTATATTATGGTACTATGTCTAGTTGATGCTTCATCATATTAAAAGATCTTGTATAGTCTATATAAAAATGCATATTTTGTACTATCAATATCAATTCAATAAACAAATTATTTCTTGTTGAAAGAGTAAGAACTGAATTCACAGATTATTATCTATTATTCTATAAAATATGGAATAAACATTTACATACTTCCATTCGGACCTGGTGTAATTCTTGCTATTAGTGTTTGAGCTATTCAGTAAAAAGACTTAATTAATTCAAATCATTTTAAGATTTCTAGTGTTTTTCTCACACTTTCAATTGAGGAAACCAACCCCTAATTTACAATCACCACCTAAGACCCCAAATAGTTAGTGAAGTGATTACCTCAAGTTACATCCACTTCCCTCAAGAAGTGGATGTAATTGCTTATAACTAAGTGACAGTTAATGGGTCACTTACATTCTCCAATTTAACCCATTATTTGTCGTGTGATATAAAAGAGTGAATTACCTTTGATGTATGACCACATATAGAATTTTAATTCACTCTTAATGGACTTAGTATGTCCATGATAAAAGTACAAATCATAAATCATGATGGTATATGCCTTATTACAAGAACACCCTTATCCATGTATTGCATGAATTGTTCATTTAATAACGAGTGAAAATCGAACTTTATATAATAAAATTTAACAGTTTATTCTCAGGTCAATTTTATTGCCTTAAATACAATAGACATATGTTATTAGCAAACTATATGTATACTCAAAATTAATAATAGAAAACTTTAATTGAAGTCATCCGTTTATATTTGTGAAGTCTTAGAAAGAGTTATTAACACAATGATTTGCATAAACACATATAACTTACATGAGCCACATACACCTTGGGTGGAGCCGAAGGGATGGACCATTTACACTTGTTTCTTTCACACTTTATAAAATGTAATAAGAAGAAAAAGTTTTATTAAAATTTTTAATTAATTGAATGTAAACTAATACAAATGGTATAAAAATTGACTTGCTATGTGGTAGCGAAGTGTTCAACTCACTTCCCACATTGCCCGTTGTCTCGACTAAATAGATATGTTCTTTTAGATGAAAAACACTTGCTAGAAATCCAACAACAGATCCATTCCAATGAATAATTACTTACATAAAACCCAAACTGCAATTTAACAGGTCTTTCCTCAAAATCTACCGATTATTCCTATCCCAAGTTNGCAAATATCATTCTAAATAATGATAGATGATAATATTCACATAATCATATTCTATATTTTTTCTTATCTATCTTATGGTGGAATAGGCTAGCTTGCATTTCATCCGAGATTCGATCTTTTTAATGTTTCGAATTCTTGTAATCACAATCAGAAAAACAAATTTCCCTTGTCACTTTTAATTTTCAAGAGAGGACTTCTTTAGTTGTTATATTTTTTTCATTCTTTTATATGCTTGTTTTTTGAAGGGTCAGATTTTTAATATTGATTAAATGAAGTTTCTTATATGAACCAAATTTTCCGAAGATTGTTTTATTTTTTTCAGTTAATACCAAGATTTTATTTGGAGAAAAGAATGACACAAGGGGCAAATAGAATGAGCGAATATGATACAATGGTTGTCTTTTTAAAGAAAAAGTTGAATGAAGGATTAAAACTTCGTCTTAGTTGTATATTAGGTTACCGTATCACCATGATTTTGCACCATATAATTATAATCTTACTATATTAGCTAGTATATTAGATCACCATGTATAGTTGATACTGTACGTAATACCGTATTAGCTAGTATATTATACTATGTCTAGTTGATGCTTTATCATATTAAAAGATCTTGTATAGTCTATATAAAAATGCATATTTTGTACTATCAATATCAATTCAATAAACAAATTATTTCTTGTTGAAAGAGTAAGAACTGAATTCACAGATTATTATCTATTATTCTATAAAATGCGGAATAAACATTTACATACCTCTATTCGGATCTGGTGTAATTCTTGTCATTAGTGTTTAAGCTATTTAGTCAAAAGATTTAATTAATTCAATTCACTTTAAGATTTCTGAGTGTTTTTCTCACACTTTCAATTGAGGAAACCAACCCTTAATTTATAATCACCACCTAAGACCCCAAATAGTTAGTAAAGTGGTTACCTCAAGTTACGTCCACTTCCCTCAAGAAGTGGATGTAATTGCCGATAACTAAGTGGCAGTTAATGAGTCACTTACATTCTCCCATTTAACCCATTATTTATCGCGTGATATAAAAGAGTGAATTACCTTTGATGTATGACCACACATAGAATTTTAATTCACTTTTAATGGACTTAGCATGTCCATAATAAAAGTACAAGTCATGAATCATGGCGGTATATGCCTTATTACAAGAATACTCTTATCCATGCATTATATGAATTGCTCGTTTAATAACGAGTGAAAATCGAACTTTATAGAATAAAATTTAATAATTTGTTCTCGGGTCAATTTTATTGCCTTAAATACAATAGACATATGTTACTAGCAAACTATATGTATACTCAAAATTAATAATAGAAAACTTTACTTGAAATCATCAATTTATATTTGTGAAGTCTTAGAAAGAATTATTAACACAATGATTTACATAAACACAAATAACTTACATGACCCACATACACCTTGGGTATAAGAAGACAAAGTTTTATTAAAATTTTTAATTAATTGAATGTAAACTAATACAAATGGTATAAAAATTGACTTGCTATGTGGTAGCGAAGTGTTCAACTCACTTCCCACATTGCCCGTTGTCTCGACTAAATAGATATGTTCTTTTAGATGAAAAACACTTGCTAGAAATCCAACAACAGATCCATTCCAATGAATAATTACTTACATAAAACCCAAACTGCAATTTAACAGGTCTTTCCTCAAAATCTACCGATTATTCCTATCCCAAGTTTTAATTTTGAACCTCTCATAGCATACCTTTTTATTTGTTTATTTTTTTTAAATCTATAAATTAGAAAAACTAATGATTAACAATAACCTCTTAAGAAAGATGAAATGGGTCATCCCGCACAAATTGAAGTGAGTAAATTTCACCAAAGAGTGAAAGTGCTTGTATAAATTATGAGGGCATCAGAAGTAATTTTTATCTGGACGAGTGATTTGAGTGGTGTTATGCCTGGGAAATCAAGGGCTGATGTAGAAAATCACGTGATTGGGGGGGGGGGGGGGGGGGGGGGGTGACCTGCTCCCGTCAGAACGGTAAGCACACGTAAGGCCTGCCAATAGCTACGGAGCTCCCACGTGTCCCTTTGCCTGCTCCAAATCGCGTGAAATCAGTTTGGAAGGTGGAAAATGTGACATAAAGCCGGATTTAATCCTGACATTCACACCAACCCATGGATTTAATGATGATTACTTGTACTCATCTACTATAAAAAGAGGAAGACCCCTTCATTAAGGGGATTCGGCTATTTTACACTTGGAATTATCGCTATCTCTCTCTCTCTGATAACTTTGTATTTACTTTTTACCAATCATTTGTAAGTCAGTCCGCTGTTGCGACCTGACCCACTATATTAATACAAATCAGTGGACGTAGGACTTGCTACCTTAGCATCCAAACCACTTTAAAAGGCTCTCATTGCATTTATTCTATATTTTACCCATAATCACGTGTGTCTTTTGACCAATCAACGTTACGCACGTGTCGATTAGTTGGTGCCAAAAATCACGCATCAACAAGTGGGTAGATATAACTGATTCTAATAGTTGTTTGGTTAGAAAAATCTATAAGAGTTTTTTAGTTTTAAATTACTAAAAAAAGACTTTAATATACAAGAAATATAAAATCAAATTCATACAATAATATATGAATATTTTTTGAAAATCTAACACTTTAAATAAATTCAAAAGAGCTTATGATAGAAGCTCAAACTTTGAGCTTTTCTCATAAGCCGTAAAATAACTTATTTAAAAACTTATAAGCAATTTTGAAATACAACCAAACAACTCAAAACAATTTCAAAAGTGGTTTAAATAAGTTTTTTACACTAGTTGATAAGCCCATATTATTTTCCTTATAATGCTATTGAGAATACTGCTTAGTTGTAAGTTTTTTTTTTTTTTCTTTTCAACAAAAGAATGCAGCCATAATTAATGAAATATTACTAGACAACAGCGATATTTCTGTAAGTGTAAAAAATGTCTAGGGTATTAGCACCTATAGGACTCTTTTTTCATAAATACACATTGGAGCACACCATTTTAAGAAACTAAAATAAGGGGACACTTTTTAAGGAAACTTGCAATTAGATGACATAATGACTTAACAACAAAATACAGTTAACTTTGTTAAGACTTAAGAGTATTAATGTGATTTTAGAAAAATACACCTTTCGTTTCAACAAGATCCATACATAAAATAATTGACCAATATTTTTTTATTATATTTTACATCTTAGTTTTGATTTTTTTTAAATATATATTTTTTTAATTATTTAACTTATATAATTATACATATATTATTTAATCTTTTTTTGGGAAAATGATATCATAATTGTAATATACAGTATATGGGTATTTAAGTCATTTTAGAGACCAAGTTAAAGTTAATGGTGTTTTACCGTTAAGTGTCCTCTACTTGATAATTTTTTAAAAAGAGTGTCTTCGAATATTGTATATCTTAAAATAATGTTATCTAATTGTATATTTATAAAAACACTGTTCTCTATATGATAATATCCCAAAATAGTTAATAAGTTAAAAAGAAAACTTCAATAGCCTTACAGTTAGCCCCCAGAGTATAATGAGAATAAGATTTCAAAAAAGTAACAAAAGCACCCCTGCTTAGTGCTTTCCCTATAGTGGAATACGCGCCCACACATAAAAAACAAACAAAACGTCCGACAAATCTGCTCCCCTCCAATTTTATACACATCGCGACACCGCTATTAATTATAAAAAGGCTCCAATATTCGATTCTCTTACTGAACTCAGCAACTGAATTTTAATGGCGCACAACTTAGAGCCAGAGAAGCAGACGCTCCTCAACCTGCACAAGGAGAAACACTTCACCGCCGGTGAGATCGTCCGTGACATCATCATCGGTGTATCCGACGGTCTCACCGTCCCCTTTGCTCTTGCCGCCGGATTGTCCGGCGCCAATGCCACCTCCTCGATTGTTCTCACCGCCGGCATCGCTGAGGTTGCCGCCGGCGCTATCTCCATGGGACTCGGCGGGTATTATTTTCAATTCTTTTGCCTATTAGGGTTTTCGGAACTCTTTTGTATAGATACGTAAACGTAAAAGTAGTTAAGCATTTGGTGACTTGGCAGTACGTGAAGTGTAATTCCATCGAATATGTGTGGTGTCGTGCAGGTATCTCGCTGCGAAGAGCGAAGCCGATCATTACACCAGAGAGTTGAAGAGTGAGCAAGAAGAGATCGTTACTGTTCCTGATACAGGTTACCACCGTTTGTTTTTATTTTTATCAATTTTAAAAATTCAGCTACGTTTTTCTGTTGTTTTGATTAGAATATTGCTGCAGAACTGAAAATTTTAGTTGAATTTAAAATTTTTAAATATGTTTAAATAAAATTTAAATTGTTTTTATGGTTAAAAGTGATAGAAAATTAAGAAAATCGAGTTTTTAAGGTTGTATCTAGAAAACTTTTTATAAGAAAAAAAATTGACTGTTTTTATAATATTTTGTTTTTGAAAACTAAAAATTGTACTTAAATTTCATTTGAAAGAAGTTCTAATAGTTGGTTAGATTTTAAAATTTAGCCAAAAAAAAATAAAAAAAAAATGATGGTATTGGACTGTCGAGTTCATTGTAGCAAAACCCGTTTGATTGATGAGGAATGTTCACGTGTGTTGAAATGGAAATGCAGAAGCGGCAGAGGTGGCAGAGATACTGGCACAGTATGGGATAGAGGAACATGAATATGCACCAGTTGTTGATGCTCTAAGGAAGAAGCCTCAAGCCTGGCTTGATTTCATGATGAAGTAAGTTTTCTTTTATTTTATTAAGGCTTTTGTGTGTGTCAGAGTGTTTTTATACTACTGGAGTTTAGTAATACATAAAATAAGAACAAAAATCTGGGAATGGTTTGACAAATTGAATGGTTCCAATACGACCCCTTAAAAAGCAAGATAAAGGCTGTCAAATTCGCTTTTTATTAAAGCTGCTTGCTTTCACGTTTGATGAAATGCCAAGACCATGTGCTGCGTGGTGGTCATTGCTTATGCCACTTGGATTTTGGTTTGGGTGCATTGTTTAACTTGGTGTTCATGATTAAAGACTCTGGGGGTCTGACCTGCCTATTTATTTTCTTGTTTTCTCCTTGCCTGGGAACTAGAGTTTCTGGAATCTTTTGTACACTAGTCTAGTCTGGTCTGGACGCTGGACTGTCTCACAATCCTTGGTCTTTTCAGCAAATCAAATTAGAATCTGAATATTAAATATAGCTTATTGGTTTGTGAACCGCCTGAGCCTGTAAATCCAGCACCCATGGGCCAATTGTTGTATATAATTTCACTCATTGAGATCGTCAATATTAATAGAGTTTAGTACACGTAAGACAGAAGAGTTTATGTTTTATTTAGGAATGATATTTATTTAGTGAACATAATAGGACAAACAGTTGCGTTATTGATTGACAATGCCACAACGAAAGCTACACCAGCGTGATTGTCAATTCTATAATCTATAATCGTTACTTTCTGCACGCTTAGTTCCTGTGCTTTATATGATAATAGGGCGGGCCACATGATATTTGGGTTGAAACCCCACTTCGTTTCCATTGTAGGCCCATATCATTATTTGGACAACTATTTGGATAGCGTGAAGTCGACATACTCGCTCCATGGAGTAAACAGCCTATTCTAATATCCATTGTCAAATTCCGAAAACTCTTCAGTCTTCACTCACTACTTGAAACGCAAGCCTTAAGCGATGTAGGATGTGATAACGTTACCTGTAATCCCATAACATAAAATTCCCCAGGATGGTATTTATATGATGATTTTCCCTAAGTTTTAATGGATTTGATGAAACAAACTTGAAACTGAACACTGATAAAATTCCTTGAGTGTGCAGGTTTGAACTGGGGTTGGAGAAGCCAGATCCAAGGAGAGCTCTGCAGAGTGCACTAACCATCGCAATTGCTTACATCTTGGGCGGATTGGTGCCTCTCATTCCTTACATGTTCATTCCAAGAGCTTCCGATGCTGTGCTTGCATCAGTTGTCGTAACCTTAGTAGCACTTCTGATTTTTGGTTATGCCAAGGGTTACTTCACAGGAAATAAACCCCTAATGAGTGCCCTCCAAACTGCCTTCATCGGAGCCGTTGCATCAGCAGCAGCGTTCGGCATGGCCAAGGTTGTTCATCCGTAAATCATCCAATGTATCTATGTAAGAAACTAGGTTTTGTATCAATGTTCTTGCTTTTATGTGATTTACTTGTGAATGTTTGGGGATTTGTATGTGTTGTTTTCCTGGGTAATAAAAACTTGATTTCCTAAAAGAATCCTCACATAAAATATATCAATTTATACTTGGTAAATCAGAACGGTCAAATTGTCGCAGATTGTTAAACAAACACACGTCCGACAGAGAGACAATACAATCCAAACGCTGAAGCCAAAGAACAAAACAAAGATCTACTAAGAAATAGTATTTGTGATTGTATAGCAAATTTGTATGTAGAAAATACAAAAATTTCTGATATATCGAATATAGAGAAATTTTTAAGAACTATACATACCGAGATTAAAAATGCCAAAGCCATACTTCCAAGTGGCACCCATAACACTTTCTTGAATTAACTAAGCTCGCAAGGACGCCCTAGCTGCCAAGATGTTGGCGCCTTTCTGTAGAGTTCAAAGTTCGTGATTCTTTTCAGTTTTCAGAGGCCAAATGTTTCATTTTCTCAGTCTGGAATTCCAAATTTTGGGGATTCTCCAAATGAGATCCATTATTTGTCGGTTCAACCTGAGAGTTTTGAGATTTGTCCATTTGTTGTAGTAAAAGTTCAAAATTATGAAGCTTCTCCAAATCATTTCCGGTTGCTGTTGGTTCTACTTCCATTTCTGAGCCAGTCTGTACTTCTCTATCTAGCTGATTATCTTCAGGATTTTCTATAAATGGACTACCTAAAAGAAGCTTCTCCCATTCACCATCATAATTTAAATCCGAAGGAATGAATGGTGCATGAGTTTCTTCCATAAGCATTTTCACAAAATCGATATTCATGAAAAAATCTTTCCTGCCATTGGATGCGTCAGATTCAGGTTGAATTTCTGAATCTGTCACTGGTGTGAGTACAGGCTTCAGAGTTTCGTCTACTGGTGGCTGATATCTTACTAACATATTATCAGAAGCTACTGGTTCACCACATTCCGTAACTTCTTCTAAAATACTGCTTGCTTCAGCCATGCGCCAGTTATTCTCTTTTGGTTGAAGCAGCTGAACCAAAAAGTTAGGGTTTTGCATGGCCATCACTAAGAATGATAACATCTGCTGCTGGTTTGTTTCCATACCTTGAACGCGGTCCCTCAAGAGTAGCAACTTATTATCTGCAGTCTCCTGGTACTGCCTAAGTTTAACCAACTCCTGTGCAAGTGCATTTTTATCAGTCTTCAAATTCTCAACTGCCTTCCACAATGCTAAATTGTCAATTTTATCACACAGTTCGACAACGTTTTCTGACTGTTGCGATGATTTTCGGTGCTCAGGTGCTTGGGAGTTTTTCCTTCTACTGATATTATTCAACAAATGCTTCTGACCTCTAATGAATCCATCATTTGCAAATTCCCATCGATCTGTGTCAACTTTTCTGAAACCCTGAGAGAAGCTTAAAGTTAATAATTATTTGAAAAAAAAAAAAAAAAAAAAGAAACTGATATTCCAAATAATATAATTTCAAAAAAATATTTCCATGTCTCCAACCAAACATTGAAGTTAACTCAGGATCATGCACAACCCAAGTGTGAGTAGACACATGGAAGACAGATTTTAATGTTTAATAAATGTTCAAGCCTCCTATAATGTATAGATTTATTGTTACCATAGCCCAAAGGACAACCAAACAGAATGAGTGAACTGGCTATCAATTCCTACCACTAAAAGTTGCAAAAATTATGTACAAAAGATGCCTCACATATCTTGATCACTCATGGAACAGTAGTCTACCTAGACAAGTCAGTAGATGAAATTCAAAAAATTATCCAGTTCCAGCATTACAAGGAGTCAAACTAAATGGATAATAAGCCATGTCAACATGTTGTTACAATTTTACAGCAAGATTTGCTCTCATATTATAAGTATAGGGGTGATAAGATGGTTTCCCCTTTGATTATGAATAGCAAAGGACATCACTTATAAGGTCAGAATTGAAATTCAAGAAAAGATAAAGAGCGTATGCTCTAAAATATTTAGCAAACTAAACAGAGATCAGCATACAAAATTCTCTGACTCGATAACCACATCAGAATTCTTTTAGGAAAGAAATGTAAATTTTGCTAAATGCACACAGCATCCTGACCATCTCAAAATTTTCAAGCATGGAACTAATATGTTGCAACATAAGACCTTGATATCCCTTAAATCCAAGAATTTCTTAAATTCATCTTATAAAATCCCATTGCATTTGGTTATAACTTAAGAGGAGTTAAAGCTACATATCTATGTAGATAATGACAATAAGAAAATTGTATTGCTATTCTGCCCATTTCCACAAGTCCAAAATGGGGAATTCTTCCCTCTCTTCTAAATCTAATGTACTTCTTAGAAACATGGAATACTATGCTTTTTGACATAAACGATACACAGCAATGGTACAGCTGCATCCAAAATAAGACAAGTACTTCATCAAAACAAGAAGATCAATACACAATTTTCTCTTGCATTCATCTTTCATTGTTGTAGAACTCCTCAGAACAAAACACTTTATAGAATCTCTCATATTTGGGAAAAAAGGGAATGGCTACGCTATGTCAATTTCACCAATCTTGAGCAACCATAAGGCCTTAAGCTGGAAAATTTATATGGAGACTTTCTTGGGCAAAGTCATTAGTTTTAGAACAAAAAAACTCAAGCAGCTAACCTTGAATCCACACTGGTGAAAGAATCCTAATCAAAAGATTTACACAATGGTAGCAATCATATTACAACTAGCAAGCATTCCATTGAATTCAAAGAAATAGCAGTCTGACAACATTCACCACTATTAGTTTCGTTGCCTTCCAAAATCAACATTATGGTGCATATCAATTCGGTAAAAATAAAAGAAATGATTCGTTTGTATGATTCTAAATCAAGGCATCTTTTGGCAGTCAAATACATGTAACTTTTAAGTAACAACAAAAATAAAGTTACGTAAAAGCTCATCACTAATCATGGAAAATATCTTCTAAAGCCAAATTAATTCATAATTAATCAAAATAAACATGATAATTATGCTAAAATCCCGTAATGAAAACCAGCCAAAAAACAAACAACAAAACACAATTTAGCTTCTAAGCAGAAAATTATCAAGAAAAAAATATTCACGAAAATTAAAAAATTCTTCACAACCCAGTTACAATCTCAACAAAAGAATCAAAACCCACTTGATAAAAAATCCAAAGACAATAAAAAACACAGAATTCCCACAAGAAACTAAAAGACAAACACTAAAGAAAAGCAAGAGACATAGAAAAGCTTACATAGATATTAAGCTGTCTGATGAAGCTAGAGAAATTGCTGTGCTTGAAGTACTTTGGTAACAGTTTAACTGAGAATTCAGTCATGTCCCATATAACAAAACTCTCACTGTTTTGACTCCAAGAAATTATGGAGTCCGTTGACTCGTCGTCAACCATCTCGTAACATTTTTTCAAAAAAGGCGCCACTGAAACGGACCCATTCTCGTTTGATTTCACCATTGCTGGATGGATTAATATAAAAATTTGGAAACAAGTAGTCTTAGAAACCAAAAAAAAGAGAAGATGAATGTTATTAAAAGAGGACTAGGGAAGGGTAAATTTGGAATTTGAGAAATTGATTGTACGGATGGTTGGATACTTACGGGGAGAAGCACTGTTGGAAGAGATAGAATGTTCTTGGCTTGTTTAAGGGGTAAAGATATTTTATGTGTATACGTTTGGCCAATAAGAAGATGCCACTTGTGTGGGTAGTGGTGATTTTACTGAAATATCCTAGGGGTTAGACGAAGCCACGATGAAATTGGTTGGAAAGTGGTCTGGTCAAAATAGAGGACCTATTTTTTTTTTCTCTTGGATTTATATTGAAGTTAAATAATAATAAATAAATAAGCAAATACTAAAATAATCATATGACAAACAGCCTGGCCCACCTACATAATGATGGGCTAAGCCCAGTCATAATATATACCATTATTTTAGGGAAAATAAAGGTCGGCATTAATATATGTTTAGTTAACATATATTTCAAAAATTAAAAAAAAAAAAAAAAAAGAAAAAAAGAAAAAAAAGAGAGAGAATTAAGTATAGAATCTTTGTTTGAGCGAGATGTGAGAGGTTTATCATTTGGTTTTGATTTAAGTAATTTCAAACCCAACTAACTTATGCTAACAAGAGTAAGGAGATATCTAATAATTAATAGATAACCTGATCCAACTGTTTAAATTGAAAAGCTTTAACAAAGAATTAATTCACAGGTCACACAAGATAATGATGAAATATTGAAGTAAATTGGATAAGAAACTAAAGTCAATTGATTAAACTCTTAGTGTTTGTATTTGTACTAATACTTTAAATTAAGCCCTTTAGTCACCAATGTTAACTATATTTAAAAATTTTTGTGTTCGAGTCGCAACAGAGGTAATTATCGGATTTATTAAAAAAAAAAAAAACTTTAAATTAAGCTAGTTCTTTAACATAAAATACCTAGAAGGTTGATGAGAAACTTCAATATTTAAATCTAATGGCTGCAAAACAGATATAGGAATCAACTTGTACAAATATAAACTAGAAAAATAAGATAAGTCAGACTCCTGAAAGATAAAAACATAACGAGGAACCAAATTAAAGAAAAATCCAACGTAAAATAAATTAGATTTAGGATTTGGGATTTTTTTTTTAATAAAAACTGAACATGAATAATGATTTACTGCTAAGAACACACCCACACAAACTAAATAACAAAACACTCCATAAAGAAATACCACAATCGGTCTCCTTTAAACTGTTTTTGAGTTCGAGATCGATTTGGATTTTTTGTTATTCTTTTGTTGGGGTTTCGCTGAGCTCGATCTCTTAGCTGAACGTACATTAACAGCATCATTAATTCATCGATACTATCTCTTGTTGTGGTTCATTCCTCCATAGCTTCTTTGAGCTTGCTGAATGTAATGCATTATTCTTCCTTCCTGTCCATTCAAAAGTTCAAAAACAAAAAATGGACTATAATATTTGGAAGTCGGTTTTGTTTAAGAGAGTTCGTGATAATGAAGATGCAACTGTGCAAAGATTTGGCTTGTTACATAGCATCAAATAGTTATGACGCGTTTGGTTCAGGGAATATTATATTACTGAGAATATTATATTAATGAAAAGATAGATTGCCTTAAAGATTATTTGGAATATTTAGGATAATATGTTTGGTTATGTAAGAATAAATTCGTGTGTATGCCATATTGATATGCTTGATTGGGAGAGTTACTGACATACTCTCACCTAAAAAATGTCCCATTGACAAATTCATACTGCCGACTTTTAAAATACTTTTTTACTACCGAAATATTATGTTTTCCTTTGGGTTGGTAGGAAATACAGTGATTTACCAAAAAAAAAAACCCCTCTTTTTTCTTCTCTTCTTAGTCTCTTCCATTGTCGGTAATTGTCGTTGACGTTGGAGAGTGCCGATGACCAGAAAATCAACAAACAAATCACAAATGCTGCAAATAAACATTCCTCAACTGTCTTTCAACCCAACAAACACGAAAATCGAACAAATCAAACCCAATTAAGCAACAAAAACTCTGAAAACTCTAGGACGGGGAAGTTTCAATCTTTGGCGATTGGTGAGCAAATGGGATTGGGAATATTGGGACTTTTTGAGAGGAAGATCCAGAGAGTTGATTAGTGGTGGCAGGGGCAATTTCCGACATCGAAATCGACTGAAAATTGGCTTGAAAGTTGAAAGGTCGCACAGTGCATGATTGACGATCAACGAGCAAGGGATGGTGATGGAGGTAAGGGTTTTGTAAAGTGGGTTGTGAGTAGAGATGGCAATGGGCCCAACATTTTCGGGTACCCGGCCCGGCCCGGCCCTAAAGGGGCGGGCTTTACCCGAGGTTGGCGGGCTTGGGCTTGGGCCTGGGCTTGATTTTAAGGCCCGACCTCGGGTACGGGCCGGGCATGGGTATATCTTTAGGCCCGGCCCGGCCCGGCCCGTCTTGAAAATTTTAGTATTAATTTTACTAATTTACCCTTATACTATATATTTAATTACAATATTATCCTACACACACACACACATACACACACACACACACACACACACACACACACACACATATATATATATATATATCCTTTTTTCCCAAACCCTAACCTCAATTTTCATCCCATATTGAAGGTTTAATATGTTAAAATTGCCTTTAAATGAGTTAGATGGGTTTGGTACAACTTATAAAAGTGGATTTTACCGTAACATATTATGTACAGTTGAAAAGTTAGTATAATCAAATATTATGGAGTTTTTATTGCTTAAATTATTTGCGGAAATAGCTTCAATTAATATTTAAAAACTATTTCTAAAATTAAAAATATAAAAAAAATTGAAATTTATTAATATTTAAAAATAAATATTATTAAAAAAGGCGGGCTTGGGCCGGGCCTACGGTTATAAAAAACCCGTCGGGCCGGGCTTGGGCTTTGCCTATCATACCCGTAGCAGGCTCGGGCCGGGCTTGGGCCTGTGTCATGAGGTCGGGCTTGGGCCTGGGCCAAGGGGTACCCGGTCCCGGCCTGGCCCATTGCCATCACTAGTTGTGAGGAGTGTGATGGTGGTGTCTGGGGGAAATTCTGGCAAAAAAATCGACCGAAAATTCGGCTTGAAGAGTCGGTTGTGCGAATGGAGGTGTTGGTGGGAAATGGTGAATGATGACAGCAAATGGAGACTTGGGCTTTGTAGAGGAGGTGATGGGGATTCTGTGGGTGGTCTCGGAAGTGATTTTGCATGCTGGGATAGGCCAAAAAATGGAAAAAACCATCGACTATGACACTACTAACGTGCACCATCTCTTACTAACGTGAGTCGTCCCTTTTCTTTTCTTCCTAAATGTTTGTTGACCATTCTACCTTCACTAATAACAGAATTTTGACCATTTTGCCCTTCTTTACACCGAAAATTACTAGCAAAATTGTGCTTTGGGTAATGAAAGGGTATTTTAAAAGTCGGCGGGTATGAATTTGTCAATGGGCCATTTTTTGGGTGGGAACATGTCTTTAACTCTTGTTGGGAGGATAAATTGGTGGGTATGTTATATAGATTACTAAATTGCCTTCTTTTTTAAATATTAATATAATTTATTTTATTATTATTTTTTGAACAATTTCTTTTAACCCCCTATATTTTAGATTTAGCTAAAACATCCTAGCAATAAAAAAGTTTAAAACTTAACAAAAACACCTCCACCCACCTCAAGCTACTGTTGGCTACCTACCATTGCTTGCGACGACGTTGGTAGTGGCCGTGATATCGCACGACTTGTTAAATATGACTAGCCATGTGCTTATATGGCCATTTGATGGATCTGGTTGAAAATGGCCAAATCTATGACCATAATTGGGCGTTGTTAACGGCCAAAGTTCTGGCTATTGATGCTAGATCTATCTAGCCGTTTGGTTGTTAACAATGACTAGAAGTTGTGAATTTGACCGAAAAAGCCAGACTAGATCTAACCATTTCTAACTAGATCTACGACGATATGGCCGTTTTCGAATAGATATCTTGTCGAAAACAGCCATATTAGCGCATGAACGGCTGGCGCTGGCTGGCGGCTAGATCTGGCCACCACCATTGGGTAATTTTTTCAAAGTTTGGTGGTATTTGTGTCCTAAAAATTTTGTATATAAGGATAAAATAGCTTATTAATATATTTGTAAATTGTTTTCAAATTAAGGGTATTATTGTTCAAATTAATAGTTAAGGGTAAAATTATAACAAAAATAAAATTACAAGTAATCTTAAAATACTTAAAAAAAATAGAGGTAATCAAATTATCTCAAATATTATCAATGGTAACAATTAATGATTATGAAAGATTATCAAAATTTTATATTATTTGATAATCAAATATAATAATAAAAGTAATATAAGACGAGGACATCTCAATAATGTTTTATTATTCCCAATTACACACACCGATAGACTAATCCTTGTAATATAATAACACTTAAAAATGCGTCCACTTTATATTGTGTTGACGAATCATATCATTGCCATGAGAATCAGAATGGAATATACTTTCTTGAAGATTCGAATTTTTTGCTTCTTTCTTTCTTTGTTTGTCTTGTAGTGAACCCGGGAAAACGTGTACCCCTCTGATTTTGGCAACTGGAGGAGCAGCACATTAATTACACCAACCAGAAGACGTACGAAGCCCTTTCCGCGAGGAGTAGCAGTATTGAAGGCCTGACCCTTCATCGTTTGATCCTCTTCACACGCAAATTATTGTTACCGTTCGCGGTTGAAGTTTAATTGAACGGCCGAACAACATACATCCACCCAAAATTTACCTTAATCATAATTTGGTATCTAAATAATTTGAAAACGATAAATAGATACTTTCTATCATTTTCTATTAGTGAATTCAATTAGTTAAAGACTAACATAATAATTTTTACAGAACCACAGAGTTTTAATTTGCTCCATACCTTCTTTTAAAAGATTTATTAAGGTTTTGATACATGTCTTTGAGAAAAAAGAAAGAAGAGAGTTTTTCCTTATCAACGAAAGACCTTTTTAGCTTTTCTTTTGTTACGGCTTTATTCTTTGTTTTTGAAGGAGGTGGAACTTGATAAACTAAACGAAACAAAAACTAGC